GCTGATAGTTTCGAACTGCTTACCTTGAGGTTTGCAGCCCGATTCGTAACCACTATGCTACCAGAGCTCTGTGGATTAATGCACTGGACTGCAAAGTCAGTTTGAACCACAAGGTTGGCAGTTCAAGCTCACCAGTTGCTCCTTGGAAACTACACAGGACTGTTATAGGTTGGATCTGATTTGACGGCACTTAATAACAATAAATAAATAACAGTAACAAATTTACCAAGGGAAAAAATTAAGTGTTCTAATTTTTAATGATAGACTACATTTGCACAAGTGACCTTGAAATATTCACAGGGAATGAGTCCTGATGTGGTGCTGTTAGGATAAAGTACTAGACCACAAAGTCAGTTTGAACTGCAAGGTCAGTGGTTCAAACTCACCAGCTCCTCCTCAGAAACACCATATAGGGTAATAATAAGTAGGAACTGACTCGACGGCACTTAACAATGACAATAAAAGATTCACAAAACTTAAAAACTGTGTATTTTCCATCCCATTAAAGGAGAGTACATATTAGAAACTTACATTTGATAAATTAAACATTCTATTAATGAGCCTGGAAAATTCTGACAATACAGTTTGGACTCATCATTTGTAATAAGGAGCAAGTAACCTTTGAGCTACATGCAAATAAGAGACCTTTGTACCTTTGACTGCTCAGATACAAGAAGACAGGCTGTAACCAGATAAAAGAAAAATATTTTTAATGATAAAAAATGTGTGCTTACCTTGTAAAAACTCCTGCTTGCAAGCAATGAAGTAGAAGAAAATAATGAAGATGTTCTTGGCCTGTTTTCTTTAAATCAGACTTGTACCAAGAATAACTAAAACACTGTACCACTAATGTACCAAAGAGCATAAAGCTCACTGTTAAAACACCAAAAACATATTTTCCTTCATGGAAAAACCTGAAAGACACCCAGATGTCTACAATCAAATCAAGTATATAGATGGAGATGCCAAGAACTGACAAAGCAAAATCCTTTTTAGTATATTTCATTATGAATCACTATAGCTTTGAGTTATCTTTTCTTCATGTACAAGAAGGAGAAAAAAAAGTGTCAGAAGAAATACTAGTGTAACCTACTAAGTCTAATAAAGAATAAATATTATGAAATTGGAACACTAAAACCAAGCAACAAATTTAATTTTCTGTTTTAAATCTCAAATTCATGTCCAATGTTAGAAGACTTTATTCGATCTTCTGTTTCACAATGATCTTCATTATAGTTGACAACACCTAAAATGAAATAGACATGTAAGTTTCTATAAATCTTCAGTGTCATATTAAAAACCCTAGACCATGACTTTATCAAAGCTTTCCTTCTTCTAAACACAATATAATAAAACATTTGTTAAGTTCCGCTGCATCTGTTCCAACTCATAGTGAACCTGTATAGGGTTTCTTAGGAGTGACTGATGGTTTTGAACCACCAATCTTGCAATTCAAACCAACCTTGTGGTCCAGTGCTTATCCTATAGTGCCACACAAGACATAGTGCTTACAATAATTCTGATAAAGTCTTGGGAGTATATTTACTAAGGACAACTTCCTCTCAGAATATGTATTTGTTTAAGACATGACCTTTTCACAAAGATACTTATCACAGGGCAATTTATAGTGCAAAAAAACTGAAATGTGTCAACACGAGAAAATGGTTATATAAATAATGGAACATCTTTTAATAGAAAATTACAAAGCTTCTAAATATACTCAACATTCCCTGCTAACACTACCAAATGTCCAGATCAGGTCCCAACACACAGATCCTGATAGAAAGGGAGAGAAATGTAGGAAAAGAACTTCATATTCTCAAAAAAAAACCCGGACTTACTGGGCCCTATGAGACTACAGCGTAGTGGTTACGAATCAGGCTGTGAACCTCACGGTCAGCAGTTTGAAACTACCAGCTGTTGTGTAGGAGAAAGATGAGGCTTTCTGCTCCCTTAAATATTTACAGCCTCAGAAACTCTGTACAGAGTCGCTATGAGTTGGAACCGACTCCACAGCACATAACCACCATCACCACCATGAGACTAAAGGAATGCCTTGAGATATTCTATTTTGTGTTTTTTAACTTTTTATTATAAGTTGTGTGAAGGTTTGCATAGCAAATCATCAATTTTACATTCAACAAATCACACACTCTTCATTTCATCTCACTGATTTCAAACCCCTCAATATAACATCACTTATCCTACTTCCTCCCTGTGGTCCTTGGTTCCACTCCTCCTTTCCCAATTTTCCTGTACTTTATCCTTGGGTAAATGCTGACCTTTTGGGTTCAAACGATTGACTATTCTGTGGCATGCTTTTTCTCTTATGTTCACTAGTGTTGTTGTTCCCCAACAGATACATCTATTGCTTGCTTAGAAACTGAGCCACGGGGAAAAGGTCAGTTTCAGACATGAAGGGTAACCAAGGGTCTCAGGGTTACACCAGTCTATCTGACCATTAAGGCTGGTCTTTTTTGTGATTTTGAGTTTTGTTCCACATTTTCTCCCACTCTATTCAGGACCTTCTAATTTGATCCTGTTTTAGAGCAGTTGATAGTGGTAGCCAGGTACCATGTACTTCCTCTGGTCTCCAGGTTATGGAGACTGATATTCCCATGGTCCAATAAGTCCATTGGACTAACTGATTCCAACAGTTTCCATTTTCATCACTCTTCTTTCTTCCAGACAGGGTTAGACCAATAGTTTTAACTTAGATGACTGCTCACAAGTTTTTAAGACCCCAGTCACTACTGACCAAAGTAAGATGTAGACCTTGAACTGAAACTATTCCCTGAAGTCACATTTTAACTAAATAGCAGGTTTACTCAAAAGGTAAAGAATGTCTACCTTGAGTACTGCTCTCCTTTTAAAAAGTAACTGCATGAGATCAAATGAACAATGGTTACTCTAAAGCATGGATGATAAAATTGGAGGGTATTAAGAAAAAGTTCATGGAAATAGAGAAATACAATGGAAAAACATAGCCAGTATCACTGAACAATACATGTAGAAATTCCTGAACAGGGGAAAAAAAAAAAAAGTATATATATATCAAGAGATAGATAAATACACACACACACAAATTAAAAGAGAATGAAATTTCGCCACAAACTTTCTGAAGCTTTTATATATACATATACATATAGATAGTTATTAAGTGCTATTGAGATGGTTACTCATAGTGACCCTGTAAAAGGTTTCCAAGGCTACAAATCTTCACGGAAGCAGAAAGCCTCATCTTTCTCCTGCAGAGTGGTTGATGGGCTTGCACATCAACCTTGTGCCTAGCAGTCCAGTTCCTATCCTACAGTGCCACCAGTGCTCCCATATATATGTTGTTGTTGATAAGTGCCACTGAATCAGTTCTGAATAGCGACCCTGTATAGGGTTTCTGAGGAGCCACTGGTGAGCTTGAACCGCTGACCTTGCAGTTCAAATCAACTTTGCAGTCCAGCGCATTAACTCACAGTGCCACACCTATGGGCTTCAAAAAGGTTATATAGATACCTACATGGGTTAAGTGCTATAGCTGTAAAAATTCTTAATATACTTAAACCCAGATATTCCATCCAAGAATGTAACCTAGAGAAATATCCACAAATGTGCACATAGACACTCATTGTAGAAACTTTCTATAACAGCAAGAAATTAAAAGCTACCTAAATGACAACTAGGAAATACATGTTGTTGTTGTTGTTGTTGTCAGGTGCCATCGAGTCGGAACCGACTCATAGTGACCCCATGCACAGCAGAACGAAACAATGTCCGACCCTGGGCCAAATACATAGTTCAATAAATTATAGTATTTCCATACTAAGTATATAAAAAGAATGAAATAGCTTTAAAAAGAAGGAAGACGATTTATTTGGAAGATGTCCAATGAATATTAATTGAATATGAATTGAAATTGTGTGTATTTCTTAATCTTCCCCTCCATGTAGAGAGTCTCCTTTACACGGCATAGATACAGGAAACAGTTATGGTTCTGTATCAAGTTTTACAAGATGGGAAGAATAATTTCTAAGAAAATTAGAAATTGTATTGATGGTATATAACATTAGATCCAAAAAAACATGATAAGGCAACTTTTATCTTTTTAATTTAGTCAGGCAGGACATTAAGACAACTGGGATGAAACCTATATTATCAAGCTCGTAAAAAAAAAAAAAAAATTACAGCTCTCAATAAAGAAAACTGGTGGCTATTTCAATTACCACAGTGTTGTATAACTTTTATGAAAGATAGTGCATCTCTAGCTAAACAGCAGATACCACCTTAAAATAAAGAATGCCATTCACACCATTTGGTTTCATAAGAGCTTTTGAAACTTACTGACTAAACTGGTCTGTTTTCAGTTCAGTTCTTCAGAAGGTTCATCCCAGCTACGTGAGTTACCTGGCTGCCAGCCAAAATACAGAACCTTTGCCCAGTATGTATGATGTCTTTGCAATAAAAGCAGACACCTGAAATAAAAACTTTCAAACTTTCATTTGCCAAGCAAATTTTAACCAATACTTAAAATATACACTTACTTGTTGAATACAAAAAGCCTTCATTACCTCAGTCGTGTCAGGAAAATCTTCATTCTCTAAATCTTGTATCTCCTTCACTGAAAACAAGTATAATTAAAGGGTGTATAAACCTTTAAGATCAAGTACAAAAATGAAACTGAAATCACCTGTTAGTCACATGTTACATTTTCTAAACTAGTGATAAGAGTTTGTATCAATGTGACCACAGTGCATCATGGTGTTTATATCATTGTGATTACGCCCCATTATAATTACTGCATTGAGGAAAGAACACGGTCCCTTTAAAAGTTGACTAGGTTACAAGCTTTAATTTTTTCAATTATGTTTTGAGAAAATACAATTTGCCTCATAACATATCCAAGAGGCTAGCAAGCCATGTTTAAAACAGTGAAATTCTTGAATCTGAAATACTCTGATAAAGAATCTACAAAACAGCATTAACTTAGCCATACCTACTCTTCAACCATTGTATCTTCTCAAATCTGATGCCCCAAGAGTGTATCATTGGTCTTCGTTCCTAAATTAAACACTACACTTGTTCTATTTCTAAGTCTTGGTTCAAAAGTATTTAATATCTAGAATGTCCTTCTACCTTCATCTACCTGAGGAAGTTCTATCAATCCTTTAAGAAACACTTTAAAATTTTCCCTGACCCTCCCAACCACATTGACTCTTCCCTTCCTTCTGGCATTCCCATAACTTTAGCTATACTCTTCTAAGATTTACCTATATATCCAGTTATGGATTGAATCGAGTCCTCCAAAACTGTGTGTTGTGAATTCAAACTGCTATCCCTGCGGCTATCACCCCATTTGGGAATGGGTTTAAAGTAATAAGATTGATGTAGGCTGTATCTCATATCAGCCGTTTCTGAAATGTTGTTGCTGTTAAGTGCCATCCAGTTGGTTCTGACTCATAACGACCCTGTATGAAGTTTCCGAGGAGGGGCTGGTGAGTTAGAATTGTCAACGTTAGAGTTCAAGCCAATCTTGTGGTCAAGTGCTTATCCTACAGGTCCACACCATTAAACAAATAAGCAGAGATGGGGGGAGACAGGTGCCAAACTACATGAAGATCACCCAGAAAAAGGAACTTAGAGGAGGCAAGGATCTTCTTCCAGAACCAACAGAGACAGAAGCCTTTCCCTAGAGCTAGGGACCTGCATTCAGACTTCTAGCCATCTAAACTCTGAGAGAATAAAGTCACCAACTTGTGGAATTTCTGTTATAGCAGCACTAGATACCTAAAACTTACATCCTTAAAATAAGGTTGTGTTTGTCTCCCCCATGGTTGTTGCTGTTGTTAAGTGCCGTGGAGCCAGTTCTGACACATAGCAATCTTGTACAGGGTTTCCGAGGAGCAGCTGGTGGGTTTGAACAGCCACCCTTGTACTTCGCAGTCCACTGCTGGTTATGAGCCTCTAAAAAGTAGACAGTCTTTTTCATTTTTAACTGCCCCTGACCCTCCAACATGCATGTATAATACGTCTACCAAAATGCTTTTTACATGGTGGTGTGCCATCAAGTTGATTCCGACCTATAATAGCCCTGTATAGGGTTTCTGAGGAGCAGCTGGTGAGCTTGAACCGCCAACCTTACAGTTCAAATGGCTTTGCAGTCTAGCGCATTAACCCACAGAGAAACACCATGAGATGGTGTAGGCAGACAATAAGCGATTGTTAACTATAACTATGTGGGAGCACTCTGGTGGAGTAGTAGGTTACATGTCGGACTGCTATCCTCAAGTCAGCAGTTCAAATCCCCCAGCTGCCCTGCAGCAGAAAGATAAGGCTTTCTGTTCCTGTAAAAAACCACAAGCTTGGAAACCCTATATGGGGTCACTATGAGTCAGAATCAACTTGACAGCACACAGCCATCACCACCCTGAGATGCAAAAATCTTTGGTCTTAAGAGATGGAAGCAGGGATGATGACATGGAGAAATAGAGCAGCTGAGGACTCTAGACTCATGGAAAGAGAAAAGCTGTGTACTGGTGGCCAGGAGGCAGGCTTGTAGAATGTGCTCTTGAGTTTGTGCCCTGAGTGCGTTTGTGTACATAAAAAAAAACAAAACAAAACAGAGGGAATAGAACCAAATACTGTTGAATGATGATTCATGGAGGGGACTGTAATTATAACAATGAAATGAAATACGATAGGATGAGTGCAAAACCGATGTTCTCCCATGTAAACTATTGCTCAATTCACAATGAAAGCTTTTAAAAAAATTTTTGGTCTTATTTCTTGGAAAGAAACTTCAACTTCAACACGCAATGATAAAACATGTTTGTAGATTCAATTTTGTACCATTAGTTTAGATCTGGACTCCTGGTGTAGAGCTATAGGATAAGCATTGCACTGCAAACCACAAAGTCAGCAGTTCAAACCCACTACTTGCTTTTCAGAAACCCTGTACAAGGTTGCTATGAGTCGGAATCTATTCAACAGCACTTAATAAAAATAAGCTTAGATCTCCCTTATACGTTTATTTAATGTTTTATCCCACAATAATCTAAATTTTCAACTTGTTCAAACCAAGCTCACTGTATACCCTCTCTTCTTTCTTGTCTGCCAATGTCTCATCATATGACCCTACTCAAATCGTCTGTCAGTTTGTCGTACTGTGGTTGCTGTGATTTTGAAAGCTATGCCACTGGTATTTTAAATACAAAAAGGTCACGCGTGGTGGACAGGTTTCAGATGAGCTTCCAGACAAAGACAGACTAGGAAGAAAGAGTAACAAACTACTTCAGAATATTTAGTCACTGAAAACCTTATAAATAGCACAGAAACACTGTCAAATATAGAGCTGGAAATTGAGCCCCTCAGGTTGGAAGGCACTCAAAATGCGAATGGGGAAGAGCTGCCGCCTCAAAGTTGAGTTGACTGTGATGACAAGAACGGAGCAGCTCAGTGCTTATCCTATAGCATCACACCAGGACACCAGGGCTGGTAGTAGTTAATACAAGGAGCTTTGGTGGCATTCTGGGTTAGCCATAAGTGGGTTTGGTTTGAGGTTGGTAGCTTATACTGAACAGATTAGAAAAGGTTTTGTTGGTGAAAATAAGTATTTTGCCAACCTAGTTGCAGGGCAGCCAGGCAGCACAGAGAAGGGGGCAGCCCCCTAGAGTGTCCCCACATGGGGCCAGTGTTGGTTTAAGTCAGATAGTACTACCCAGGCTCCGGTAGACTCGCTGAGCTCACACAGCTCTGTAATTTGGGCAAGTCTCCAAGCCTCTGTTTCCTCATTTGTAAAAGATCCTGGTGTGGCGCTGTAGAATAAAGCACTTGAAGGTCAGTTTGAACCACATGATCGGTATCAACAGCAACAACTTTAGCGACCCTGTCTAGGTTTCCAAGGAGCGGCTGGTGGGTTTGAACGTCCGGCCTTGCAATTAGAAGTCCAGTGCTGATCCTACAACCTGTGTGTTGTTAATTGCCGTTGAGTCGGTTCCAACACATAGGGACCTTGTATCCGGTTTCCCAGGAGCAGCTGGTGAGCTTGAACCGCCGACCTTGCAATTCAAACAGTTTAGCAATCTGGCACATTAACCCACAGCGCCACACCAGGACTTAACAACCCGTGTTGTTGTTAAGTGCCATCGAGTCGGTTCTGACTCATAGCGACCCTGAAGAGGGTTTCCAAGAAACGGCTGATGAGCTTGAACAGCAGACCCTGCAGTCCAAACAGACCTTGCAGTCCAGAGTGTTAACCAGCAGCGCCACACTAGGTTGCTAGGGTTAAATAAGAAGCCATTCTCAACATCTGTAAGCGCTAAATAAACATCAGTTACTGCAACTTATTTTGAAAGTTAAACAGGCTACCCCGCCCCAACCCTAAATGCCTACCAGGTAATCCTTCTCGGGACTTTGTCCTCAATAACTAATCCCAAACCTGCCTGTCCCATGCTCCACCACACGATTTCCCAAGTTAAAACGTCTCCTGTCCACTTGGATGAAAGTGCCGGGCTGGAAACAAACTTCTAAAAAGGAACCAGCCTTTCCAATTTGGTAGCAACTAGCCACCAGGCCAAGGTCCGCCTCACCTCACGCCCCCTCACAAGCGCCCGCGAACTCCCTCTGCTGGCGCGGAACCACGTGACAACTAGCCCTACTTTTTCTCCTCCCAACCCTCACCACTTCCCCCGCCCCCGGGTCTGGCAGCAAATTCCCTCCCGTCGTCGCTTGCGCGGCGTCACGTGACAGCTGGCCCCACCGCCCTGCGCCCTACGGCTTTGCTGCGGGTTGTGTGTGAATCGGCGGATCAAGCAGAAATGGCTGTCTCCCTCCAGCGCATTGAACGGCTGTCCAGTAGAGTGGTGCGGGTGCTGGGCTGTAACCCGGGTCCCATGACCCTGCAGGGCACCAACACCTACCTGGTGGGGACCGGCCCCAGGTAAAGTGCCACCCACCCCCAACACACCCGCTTGCGGAGGTGCCTGGGTCTGCAGCTGCGGAAGATTGGGCGCCTCGGTCAAGAAACTCTGTACAGAAAGCGCGGCGCCCGGCGGGTAACCCTACCTGGGCCATATCTAGACTACCCGAGTCTGGAACTCCCCTAAGTCAGGGCTAGCCTGGATGGTAACCTCTCTAATTAGCGACACACTGGTAGCGTAGTGGTTACGAATCGATCTGCAAGCTGCAAGGTCAGCAGTTCGAAACTACCGGCTGTTCTGCTGGAGAAAAATGAGGCGTTCTGCTCCTGTAAAGACTTACAGCCTCGGAAACCTTGTGCAGGGTTGCTACAAGTCAGACCTGACTCCACGGCACACAGCCACCACCATAGCACAGATGAGAACTGCCCCATAGGGATTGCAAGATTGTGGAGCCTTGGTGTGGCGCTGTAGGATAAGCTCTAGGCTGCTAACCACAAGATCCTTGGATCAAACCCACCTGCTGCTCGTGGGAAAACCTATAGGTAGTCACTATCAGTAGCATCGACTAGATGACAACAACAAATCTTTATGGAAGCTAACTACCACATTTCTCTACTGCGACTCTTTCTGTTAAAGTCATCAGCCTAAGCGCTTAAACACTGCATCACAAGCGTTCCTTCTACAAAAGGTTAATGGTGAAATAATTGGGGGGGGGGGGGTTGGGGAGGGAGACATACTTCCTGTTAAAACCCGATTTACTTTACTTGATGTTTGAATGCCAGGGTTGTTGTTGTTAAGTGCCATCGAGTCGGTTCTGATCCATAGCGACCCTGTATAGGTTTTTCTAAGAGCAACTGGTGAGCTTGAACCAGTTCAGACTGACTTTGCAGTCCAGCGCATTAACCCACAGTGCCACACCAGTGTCCTTAAACTGTTGAGAGGTCAAGATCAGGTTTTTGTTGTGGTTTTTTTTGTTTAGTTTTGTTTTGTTTTTAAGAGTGCAAAGGGGGTTGTTTTGCTCCCCCCTGACTTGGGTGTCGCCCAGAGTAACTTCACACAAGCGATTCATTGTGCTGAAGCTGTTCCCTTAATTCAGCAGCAGAGGGCAGCGTTTCCTTTCCGCGTGCTTGAGTTTGTATATCTGAAAGGAGCCCCTAGCCCGTCGTAGGGAGGTGACCTTGACTAATTTTGTTGTGTGGCATGAAGGTATTTTCCAGGTGTTCCTTAGAAAATATTTTTCCTACTGGTCAGCTGCTTTCTATTTAAGGGATTTATCCAAAAATGGTGTGGCTTACTGTACAGCAAGGAGTCCTGTGGTGTCGCTGTATGATAAGCACTGGACCTCAAGGTCAGTTTGAACCACAAGGTCGGTGGTTCAAACACACCAGCCACAACTCAGAAACCCTGTACAGGGTCGCTGTGAGTCAGAACTGACTCGACGGCTCTTAACAACGACAGGCATTGAATAACTTTTGTTTATGTAGTCTTTACTAAATACAAAATATGTATATATATATATCGATAGATAGGTCGGTAGGTCGGTAGGTAGGTAGGTAGGTAGGTAGGAGGTAGGTAGGTAGGTAGGAGGTAGGTAGGTAGGTAGGTAAGTAGGTATCACAGGCGAGGCTTTCAGACTCATGACAGGTACCATGTGTTTCGGAGAAGAACTGCTCCAAAGGATTTTCTAGGCTATAATCTTTATGGCAGCAGATCGTCAGGCCTTTCTTGTTCAGTGCCACTGAGTGGCTTTGAACCAACAACCTTTAGGTTAGTAGATAAGGGCAAACCATGTGTGCCACCCAGAGACCCCACCCTTGTTGTTACTAAGTGCTGTAGAGTCAGTTTAGACTCACAGAGCCTCTGTATGGGGTTTCCAAGAAGTGATGGTGGGTTTGAACTGCAAATTTTACAGTTAGCAGTCCATTGTTTATCCTACAGAGCCACAGCAGAACTCCAAGAACCCCACCCTAGATAGTACAATTTAAAAATAAAATTTACTTCCTCTCGATCATACAATTAAATTGTACAGTCAAGACATATTACAACTAATAAAATATGTTGTTGTTAAAGTACCGTCAAGTCAGCTCCAACTCATAGTCACCCTGTATAGGGTTTCCAAGGAAAGGCTGGTGAGTTCGTTGTACCACCAACCTTTCAGTTCAAACCAACCTTGAGATCTAGTGCTCATCCTATAGTGCCATAATAAAATATAGTTGATTGCTGAATACACTTAATAAGTATAGTTTATTGCTGTTTTGTTTCTAGCAGCTATAGTATTTGCCTTTTGATAGTAAATTAGAATTTTAACAGCATCAGAAGGGGAGGGACTGAAAATACAAGTCGGGAATGTGAAAGGTTAAGTTCAGAATCATCAAGGCAGGGTCAAGTAGGTACAAAAGCTTGAGGCTGGGTCCCAAATCTAGGAGGACAAATTAAGCAGGGAAAAAAAGTGCTTGACTGGAACATCCCTCGCCCTTCTCTCTCCCTTAATAAGGCCCTGGGCACTCTCTTCTCTTCAGTGTAGCATTTTAAGCTATTTCTAAAGCCAATACCAAAGATGAAAATTGAATGTAATCAAAATTACACTAGAAAATATCAGAAGAATACTATGTTGGCAGTGAATGAACTGTCTCTCTCACTAGTTCAAAACAACCTGCTTATCTTCCAACATTTCAACATATGGTTGGTTCTGTTGGAAAACCAAATGTAGATGTTGGCTTTTATTTAGGGGCCATGTTGTATGAGAAATACACACTGTATTTCATAATACTAGAATCACATCCAACATGGCAAAGTGCTTGTGCTTTAAAGTTATAAAAAGACCTGAAACTGAAGACATGGTCTTCCATCTTACACTTCTCTCTCTCTTATGAGTTAAGCTAGAATAAGTTGCTATGATTTGACAGTATTTAACAACAACAATATTGTACAAAGTTAAGTTGCAGGTGATGCTATTATACTGTGTAAAGCTAAAATGTCAAGTTGTTGTTGTCAAGTGCCGTCAAATCAGTTCCGACCCATAGCTTCCCTATATAGGATTTCCAAGGAGAGGCTGGTGAATTTGAACCACTGACCTTGTGATTCAAACCGACCTTGCAGTCGAGCACATTAACTCACAGCGCCACACTAGGACTCCAGTAAAGTCTCTAGAAATAAATACTAATTGAGTCTAAGGCTGAGGTTTTGCGATTGTCATCTACCTGTTTGACTTCACAAAACAGTTCTAAGATGACAGGAGGCTTACGTACCACTACACCCAATGGCATTATTTTCATTGCTATCTAATTTGAACCTCAGCACCATATCACACTGTTGACCACTTCCTCCTTGATTTGCTAACAGCACGTTTTCCTGATTTTCTTCTATCTGTTCTTCCTCATTCTGTATAGAATTATTCCTCAAGATGCAGCCCTACTCTCCAGTTCTCATGCTATGTTCTTCTCTATCTAAATAATGCTTCCTTGGTTTCACCTATTGTCTGTTCATTAATAATTCCCATACTGCAAAGTTGAGCTGCAAATTCAGGTAACCAACTGCTTATTTAAATACTTACTTGGATGATTCACAGCCATTTGAAACTCTGTTTTCGAACATGCACTCACAGGCTTTTCCTCTAAATCTGGTCTGTTTACCGTGTTGTGATAAACAGAGTAATTCGCACATCTGTTCAAGCCAAGTACCCTCCCTGACATTTCTTTGCCTTCTTACCACACATTCAAGCCATTGCAAGGGTCTGTCCATTTCTACTGCTCTCACCCAATCCAAACTAGTACAATCCTTGCTTAGGTTTCTATGTTGTTGTCGATAATGCCATCGAGTCCTTTCAAACGCATATGAAGCTTCTATACTAGCCTCATAGTTGGATTCTCTGAATCCACTTTTATCCTTGAATGCACTCTGCCCTAAGTTGATGTTGTTATAAATGTTGTAGAGTTAGTTCTGACACATAGTGTGTAGGGTTTCCAAGAGTGACTGGTGTATTTGAACTATGGACCTAAAGGTTACCAGTCTAATGCTTATCCTACAGTGCCATACCAGGGCTCTAATGCAAAAGGCCTGCTTTACTCACATTTTGGCTTATAAGTGGACAGTAGCATTCACATTCTAAAAATTCTGTTTTCTTTACTACTTTCTTGTTGTAAGGTACTGTCCAGTCCACTCCGACTCATAGTAACCCTATGCACAACACAGTGAAACACTCATTCACCATCCTCACATTGCTACTGCCACCATGCCAATCCATCTCTTTGGGGAGCTTTCTCTTTTTCGCTGACCCTCCACTTTACCAAGCATGATGTCCTTCTCCAGAGATTGGTCTCTTTGGATACTATGTCAGAAGTATGAGAGATAAAGTCTCACCATCCTTATTACTCAGGAACATTCTGGCTACATTTCTTCTAACACAGATTTGTTAGTTCTTCTTGTCCATGGTACCTTCAATATTCTCTCCAACACCATAATCATAATGCAAATGTGTCAATTTTTCTATAGTCTTCCTTATTCATTGTCCAACTTTCACATGCATATGGTGTGATTGAAAATACCATGGCTTAGGTCAGGTACACCTAAGTCCTCAAACTGGTATCTTTGTTCTTGAATACTTTAAAGAAGTCTTGTGCATCACATTTGTCTAATGCAATATGTCGTTTGATTTCTTGACTGCTGCTTCCATGAGTATTGGTTATGGATCTAAGCAAAATGAAGTCTTTGATAAGTTCAATCATTTCTTCATTTATTATATTTTTTTGGTCCAGTTGTGAGAATTTTTGTTTTCTTTACATTGGGGTTCAGCCCATGCTGAAAGCTGTAATCTTGGATCTCATCAGTATTTGAAGTCCTCTTCACTTTCAGCAAGCAAAGTTGTATCATATGCATATTGCAGGCTTTTAATGAGTCTTCTTCCAATCCTGATGCATTCTTTGTATAGTACAATTTCTTAGATTATTTACTCAGCATACAGGCTGAATAAGTATGGTGAAAGAATATAGCCCAGGTGTACACCTTTCCTAATTTTAAACTA